CTGTGCCATTAAGTGCATCATTGAACTATTATTTGTTCCGTTGATTTATGATCGAGGGGAAGTGATTGCAAATCTCTGTTAATATTATAGTGTACAGTTGTCTATCGATTTTTCAAAGGTCTCATCGATCTTTTCTAAAGTCAGTCAGGAAGTTGAAGAATATGGCAAATAAATAAAACGTATGTCCTAGATTCATAATGGCGTTCAAACATTTACTGACTCCTTGGATATTTGAACCCTTCATAATGCTATGCTATCTATATACGTTAGACAAACCATTACAAATGCAATATAAGACTACTTCTTTATTTTAATAAATGCAATTAAATGTAACAACGCATTTGCTTCCGTTTTTTCTGTTTGGTCCGTTAAATAAAGCAATCGTTATTTTTTTTATTTTTCAACAAACACTTGCCGCTGGTTTTCATTAGAGAAAGTTTTCCACATCATATAGAGACATAAGAAAGGTATTCCATGTTTTGAGCCTGAATTTGATCCTTTTTAAACTGATCCCAAATTATTGTTTTATTTGATTGCCTTATAATATTAGGTTGAGCCATAAATAATTTCCGTTTTCGTTTATTAACTGTATTTTTCAAAATAATAAAATAAATTACATTTTATTCAATTATATATCCACCGTTATTTGCAATGACTTTTTGCAACTTGTCAAGAAACTCTTCGATACCAATTGAGTCAAATTTTGCAAATTTGGATGTGAAAAGCATTTCTACAAATTCTTCAATATGGTTTTCATTAGAGAAAGTTTTCCACATCAAATAGATACATAAAGATTTTCCAAGTTTTGAGCCAGAATTTGATCCTTTTTAAACTGATTCAAAATTACGATTTTATTTGATCGCCTTATAATAATAATAGGTTGAGTCATAAATAATTTTCGTTTACCAATTGTATTAAAAAATTAAACTACAATTATATTTTAATTAAACTACAATTATATTTTAATTAAACTACAATTATATTTTAATTAAACTACAATTATATTTTAATTAAACTACAATTATATTTTCCCCATCAAAACATTTTGCAGTGATCAAAGAAGGTAATAATAATCAGTTAATTCAAGGTCAGATGAATATAGCAAATGTGGTAGAACAGACTAAATGAGTTTTTTTTTTCTTGTGTTATTCTTGCTGTATGCAACCTTGGTCAACATGGGAAGGATCAACATTTTTCCTTTAATCGACTGTATACGCTGCTATGAAAAATTAACGCATGTTAGTAAACTCCAAATTGATACTTAATGCAACAAATGATTAGTTGCCTTTAGAAATATCTGTATAAGTCGACTGATGCTTTATTTTTGAAAATAATCATTTTACCCCAAGCAAGGCGGTAATGCCATTAGCACACGGGGGGGGGGTCTTTGAGTTACAGTGCGTGAAAGTAAAAGAAAAGACTGAGAATGGGTGAGATAGAGGAAAGGACAGAAAAATGAACAGGGTTCAAGAAGACAGAAGATTGAAGTTGCATTTGAATTTTTGAAGGTTGTAGTTATCAAGTAAACGGAAGGGAATTTCACAGGTGGGAAGTGCTAGAAAAGAAACAATTAAAGTAGAAGTGGCAGTCGCATTTAAACGGTGGGATCTAGTTGCCAATCATTTAGTTGAGGGCCCAGGAAAAAAAAACTCGTCAGAGCAGTTGCCATGAAAATATTTGTAGAAAAGCCATAGGGAAACCGCGTCATGTCGGTGAGAAAGTGACTGAAGTCGAGATAAAATTTATTAACACATTCACAACTGCCTTGGATATTTGAACGCTTACGTGCAAGCTGTAGGGATACAAAAGGCGATTCTCTCAATTCAGTTGAGATAAAGTTACGGGGGTCACGTGACTGCCGGTGAGTGACGTCAGGGAATAGAGTGACGAAGACGAGTTAAGACGTAAAGCCCGGAGAAGAAGGACGTTCCTAGTTCACAGTTGGTCATTTTGCTATAACATTTATTCTTGATAATTCTGCTTTAAAATGTAGTATTGACAATTTTTACTATAAATATGTATTTTTCATACTTTCATGGTACCTGGGGGTTCCCTATTTGCACATATCTGGGGCCCTAACATGTGCTAACATCCCGAGTCAGAGTGAACCTGGGAACAACACACAATTAAGAGGTGGTTCCACGCTCCTCAAAACCTCCCATCTCAACATCAGAGGTCTTTCTGCCGGATGTAGTTTATCGTCAAACCCAGGACTATCAAATATCATATATTTCTTGCATGTTTCTCTTTGGGATCTTGACCTAAAGGTGGTAGTGTGATTGCTTTTAAGGTCTCGAGATAATGTTTTAATATTCCGTATGTTTTATGTCTGTTTACATTCAAATCAGCTGGTTCTTTATTTTCTTGCTAGGCGAGCCAATTTTTTTTTTGGAGCGGGGCTTATAACTCTTAATTTTTCTCATGAAGACAGTTTATTGTATTTTTTCTTTTCCCAGTTTTAAATGTCCTTTTACTTATTCTATAATCTCCGCTCATTTTTTCCACAATTTCCAACATTTTGTTTCTGTCATACAACGACTTTTAATAATCTCGTTTTTCTTTTCTGAGTATATCTTCTTTTTTTTTCGATCTTTTAAACTTTTCTGCCTGCGTGTTACTAGATTGGCAACTAGGTCCCACCCTTTTACTGTTGAAATAGCTACATGCAACAGCCACTTCTATCACCAACAGTTTCTCTTCTTGCTGTTCCCACCTGTGGAACCTTTCGTTTTCTTGCTTCTCTGATAACTACGATCTTCAAAAATTTAAATGCAACGTCAATCGCCATCTTCTGTCTTCTTGAATCCCGTTAATCTTTTGTCCTTTCTTCAATCCTCCTTATTTTCAGTCTTCTCTTTCATTTACATTCCCTGTAACCCCCCCTGCGTAGTAGTGAGATTACCGCCTTGCGTAAGGTGGATATTTTTGTACATCTGAAATTAAAAAATAAATATCAAGAACCATTGCTATTCTCTCTCTCTCTCTCTCTCTCTCTCTCTCTCTCTCTCTCCCTTTCTATCCCATTCACTCATTTCTCCTTCTCTCTCTTCCTTTCTATCTCACTCTCCCATTATCTCTCCCTCTCTTTCTATCGTATTATCTCTCTCCCTTTCTATCCCATTCTCTCCCTCACTCTCTCTCTCTTTCTATCCTACTATCAATTCTCACTCTCTCTCTCTCTCTCTCTATATATATATATATATATATATATATATATATATATATATATACCATTCCTATTCTCTCTCTTCCCCTTTCTATCCAATTCTCCATCTCTTCCTTTCTGTCCTATTATCCCGCTCTCTCTCTCTCTCTCTCTCTCTCTCTCTCTCTCTCTCTCTCTCTCTCTCTCTCTCTCTCTCTCTCTCTCTCTCTCTCTCTCTCTCTATTCCACTCACATTCTCTCTCTTCCCCTTTCTATCCAATTCTCACATTCTTCCTTTATATCCCATTCTCTCTTCATCCCTCTCCCTCCTCTCTCTCTCTCTCTCTCTCTCTCTCTCTCTCTCTCTCTCTCTCTCTGGATTCTTTGTCTGAATTTACTTCCAAAGCCTTTTCCATGTTTGAATATGGCCGCAAGGAAGCAGAATTTTAAAATTAAGATTTTCACTTCATCTACCCGAAAGTTGTGGTCTTAGCATAAAAATATATCCGTTAAAAGCTGATGGTTCCCTATGGCATTAAAAGAAAATGTGTTCTTTTTACAGTGAATTTCGCCCTTTACAAGACCCGGGAACCAATCGAGGTAGAGGGTTACAAAGTAAGAGGCACAGTTTATGCAGGTAGGTGGGATGACGGTTAACCCTAGACTTGAACAGGTTAAGATTGTAGTGATCGGGAGAACATCTTCTTGAGAGTCGGTCTCACAGAGCAGAGGTTCGCTAAAAGAAGCTGCTCGATTGGTACTTACGTCTCAACAATGGAATACGAAAGGAATGAGAATGGTTCTCTACGATGTGCGTAGAATGGTGTGTTTTAGCCGTGAATGTTAGAATTCGTGAATCTAAGGAATGTAGTTAATCTGAACACTTTCCATGGAAATAGCGATAAAGCAGTGAGAGGCTTGCGATGTTTCGTCTGTGAGAAACGGGTTGCAAGGTGGAAAATAATTCATCACCCACAAGAACGCGGAGAGGCTTTTGGTCTTTATCGAGACTGAAAAGGTTGACTTTTCAGCCCCTGTCCAAATATGGTAGCACTACTCCATTTTAGGCCTGATCTAACTTCCAAATATTTCGTGTCTTGGCCTCTGAATAACGTTTTAAATATAAGCATTAATATCAATGCAATTACATATGTATATTTACTTACAATATGATGCATAATAAAATCTTACATAGTGTAGATATATACATTGATATGATTGATTTCTTTTTTACGGCTTATCAACCTTTTGCAGGTTATTTAAAGTCAGAAAATGTTTTTAGAGTGTAAGAATTTGAGGTAGGGAGATAAGAATGATTTAATTGTACAAGTTCTACTAATTAAGGCATAGCTAGTGGATAAAAGGTGGATTCGTAATTTTCCCAAGGGTATTATCTTATAAGTGAATATAACACCCAATTGGAATTGAAACTTGCCTCTCCAAGATCCAATTCCGAAATGTTATCCGTTAAACCACCCGCACATCAAAAGTTACAGCACCTCGTAGCCCCAAGCGGTTACTCATCTAATTAACTTCGGTGATCGTGCGGGAACCGATGTTTGAACATGATACGGCTGAAAAGATAGATAGATAGATAGATAGATAGATAGATAGATAGATAGATAGATAGATAGATATGTGTAATCAAAGGATTGTTTTTGCGTCTCTCTCTCTCTATATATATATATGTGTGTGTGTGTGTGTGTGTGTGTGTGTGTGTGTGTGTGTGTGTGTGTGTGTGTGTGCGCGCGCTCGCGGAGAATGAGAACACGACAGAGATACTAATTACTGACAAAGACAAATGATTGACATTTAGCCTCCCCGAGGGTAGTAGATCAATTTGGTACCGCTTTAAATGACGTATCCTCTCTCTCTCTCTCTCTCTCTCTCTCTCTCTCTCTCTCTCTCTCTCTCTGCGGCAGATAACACGCGCATGCGCGTACATATTTGCGTGATTGCGCGCATGCGCGTGTTCACATGAGCAGGAACTTAACGTAAATCTTTAGCTGTGTACGATAAATGTATGTATTCAAGCGATGATATTTTTTCGTGTTTTTTTGTTGTTGTTGTTTTTTTTTTGTATTTACTCCTTTGTTTAATAAATACAAGTGCCGGTATCAACAAAAAAGATAGCCAATAGAAAAAGAGAAGAAAAAAGAAAATATTTAAGGTAGTGAGAATATTGTACGTTCTAAATAGAAGTCTGTTTTAAAAGGCAAAGACAAAAAATAAACGTAAAAAAAGAATAATGGTAACGTAACTCTGTCAGAGCCTTTGTTGTGGTTTGAATGTTGTTTCTCTTACTCTAATATCAACACCCCTTACTTTCCACTCTCCCCTCTTGCTTTTCTCTCCCTTTCTTCCTCTTTCTAACCCATTCTCTCTTTTTTTATTCCTCCATTCTCCCATTTTCTCTCTCCCTTTCTATCACATTCTCTCATTCTCTACCTGTTTCTAGCTCACTCCTATTCTCTCTTTATCCCTTTCTATCCCGTTCTCTCTTTCTCTCTCTACTCCATTCTCTCTCACTTTTGATTCCATTCTCTCTCCCTGTCTATCCCATTTTCTCTCTCCCTATCTATGCTATTCTTTCTCTTTCTCTCTCCATTCTATTGCATTAACTCTATCGCCATTTCTATCCATTCTCTCTTTCTTTCTCTCTTTCCATCCCATTCCCTCTCCCTTTCTATCCCATTCTCCCATTCTCTCCTTCTATCCTATTCTCTTTCTCCCCCCATTCTATCCCATTATCCCTCTCTCTCTCTCTCTCTCTCTCTCTCTCTCTCTCTCTCTCTCTCCCTTTTTCCCATTATCTCTTTCTCTCCCTTTCTGTCCTATTCTCTCTCTCTTTCTCTCTTTCTATCTCATTCTCTCTCCCTCTCTTTTTCTATCCCATTTTCCCATTCTCTCTCTTTCTTACTCTCTTCTCAAATGCTGCTGTTGGTGTGCATACATGTGCGTGCAGACGGTGCCCTTTTCAATGTGCAATGCAGTTTAACTGGAAATATAGGTCCGCTAAAGTGTCGATCTCGTTTTTTTAAATATTGGTCGAACGGACACCTCATTCACCACCACCACCACCACCACCGTTACAGTGAACACAACTTAAAAAAATATAGAATACTTCAGTATAATGAGTATTTTCGAAATCCCAATAGCAGCAACTGTTAGTAACAACTCTGTTATTAGTGACACTAGTTGCTGTGATCGTCATTGTAATACAGTAATAGTGGTACTCACGGTTAGAAAATAAAAGGGGGGTGCACTCATGAAAAGCGGAAGTAATATTGATTAGTTACGACCACACACGTTTCACCCATAAATGCATTTGGATATCTGAGTTAAAGCCTGGCAGCTGAGCCAGCGGATTCATCTATTTAACCCTGTGTTAGTCACCTCGGATTTTCGAAAATGGATAATCCCCTGGGGTGTTTACACGCACCAATACAAAAATGCTTAAAGTGTTACAATTATGTAAAATATTGTCGTTCTGCTGAAAAGAATAATATAACAGGCAATCTACATTCAAATATACATTAAATCAAAACTTGAAATGAAGATATAATTATTCATTGAAATGAAAATTATAATAAATTTGTTGCATAAACATATATTGTCAATTGGAGGTGAAACACAACAATATAATAATAGAGAAATGTTTTATTCATCAAAAATACCTACAATATATATATTTCCATGAATAGAAAGATTAGGTAAATTCATAATTACTGGACTGAAAGAGTAATATATATATATATATATATATAAAAGTGGCTCACCTGATTTTTTTACTAAATGAAACGAAAGTTGAGCTAAATTCAAAGTATAAGCGAAACTTATCGAGCATGTTGCTCAACTGCTTTCTCGAGAGCCTGTATTTTATAATGCTCCATAAGTTTTCTATGGTGTTGAAGTCAGGAGTTTGGGGCGCCCATGTCACAACACTCACCTGCTTCTCATCAAATTATTCTTTCATCAATTTTTATTTGTGACAGGGAGCATTATCCTGCATAAAAATGAGCTTGGTGGGGTCGATTTGCACCCTTTCAGCAGAAGGAAGCAGACATGACTCTAAAATTCTCTTGTACTGAGGGTCCTGAGGGTCTTGTCAATAGGTTTTAAGAAACCAGTTCCATAAAAAGAAAAGCATCCCCAGAACATTATACTGAACGGATGCTTGACAGTACTTACTGATGAATTCAAAGAGCTTTCAAATCTTCTTGTTCGGATTTTAGATCGCTTATCCGTTAAATTTAGCTCAACTTTCGTTTCATCGGAGAAGAGAACATTTAGTAAAAAAAATCAGGTGAGTTAGTTTTATCGAACAGCACTGTATATATATATATATATATATATATATATATGTGTGTGTGTGTGTGTGTGAAATAGGATATAGAATCCTGACAAAGTTTTGAAGAAATTTGACAAATGGAAAAACGTTTCATCTAAAGTAGATTTGATTACGCGTTTCGCCTTTCTAGGCTTCATCTTATTTCTTTCTTTGGTTTTATGATCTGGTGAAGCCTAGAAAGGCGAAACGGAATGAAATTTCTTCAAATATATATATATATATATATATATATATGTGTGTGTGTGTGTGTGTGTGTGTGTGTGTGTGTGTGTGTGTGTGTGTGTGTGTGTGTGTGTGTTCGCGCTCGCGTATGTATCGAGGTGTATGTGTGGTCGACACTTTCGTCGTGGACATTAAATGAGGACTCAGAAAAATAAAGATGTGCTCAACTTTCTATGGACTCACATGTCTCTCCCGAGACCAGCAAGTGTTTTGCAAATTTTTAGACAGATTAAACATGTGGTTGAGCCATTTTGCTCGATTAGTTGGAGATCAATTGCCACATGTTTCCGCGAGTAGACTTCAAGGTCTGCTTTACTGTCTTCGACAAAGCCACAGTGACAGGCAAAAGGCTATCATTGAGAAGAGCAGCATGCTGCCAACTTGCTTTATTATTTGCACGCAGTTGATCTCGATGTGTTCAGTTGGGTCTCGCACAAACCTTTGTATGGATGAGAAGGAGGATAGGCGCCCAGCTCCTCCGCCCTGACGCATTGTCTTCCCAGGAAGAAAAAGGTATACTGCATCAGGTTATCTTTCTTTGAGTTTCTCTTTGTAAAGCAAAAGTCGCCTTCCAACTGACCTGCTCATATATATATATATATATATATATATATATATATAAAGAAATATAGTCTTAAGATGTGCTATATTTATGGGATAAAGTGTTCAATATCAGAGATAGGGCGTGCGTAAAAATAAAAGTGAACATAGAAGTCAACACTTAAAGGCGATAGTCTGTTTCATGCTAGACGCAATCGTCAGGCCAAGAGTGCTGTTATTTTTCTCGGCTGTTTGTATATACGGGTCAGTGGTGCATTGTGGGTAGTCTATTTTGGCGTTTATTTTACCAGAATTCGTTTATTTTTTTATTTAGGTTAAATTATTTTGCTTGTTTTCATTTATTTTTATTTTTTATTTTTATTCCTTATTTTATATATATTTTTAATTTTTATTAGTCGGTGTTTTTTATTAACGTAGTAAAAATTTGTTTATATCGCTTATTTAATAGTTTTGTTTTGGTTAGGGAAGATAACTAAAGCTATTTATTCAATTTTAGCGTTGATTGTTGTAGTTTATTCTAAGTATTATTTTGGTGGGAACTGTTTTTAATTTGTTTATTACTTCATATATTTATTTGGATTGATTATCTTTATTTGTTTTTTCTAACGGTTGCTTTACCGGGATCGGTTTGTTAGTTTATTTATTTATTTAGAAGGAATTAGATTAATTTATTTTACTTGTTTTTTTATTATTTATTTATTATACTGTATATTTTTATTTACACTTTTCGGTTTCCGATTTTTAAGTAACGGAGTATTTCTTTTTCTTTTATTGTTACATAACAGTTGTAGCTATTTTTTCGTCCGATTTTTGGTTTGATTTTTATAGTCTAACTAATATTTTGGTCATAATGGTTTGTTAATTTGTTTATTATTTACTTTATTTATTTGGATTCATTGATTTTGTTTTTTATTTTTTTATTTATTTATTCTATTTCATCTATTCTATCGGGTGTGATTTGGTAATTTGTTTGGGTTAATGTATTTTGCTTATTTTATTGTCATTTTGTCTATTTATTTATTTTTTATTTCTATTTTTTATTTTTTTCAGTTTTCGATTTTTAAGTAACGTAGTAAAAATTTGTTTTCATGTCTGCATTTTGAGATGAGCTCAGATCTTTTATTTAATAATTTATTAATTTATTAATATTATATATATATATATATATATATATATATATATATATATATTCATTCAAATATGTTTCATTGAATAAAAGATTGCATGACTACAACGGATAAGTTTTAAAAAGTTTAAATAAATATAGCAGAAAACGTTCGCGCGTGTTTTTAAGAAAACACCATCACAACAGAATGCAGATTTTATCGCACTTACAATAAGTTTGTCTTTGTAATTTACCACTGAAGATGATCTTGGAAAATATCGAAAGTACTTGGGTTAAAAAAAAAAATAACGTCAAGAAATTGATTAGACAACTAGAAATGATCAGTCTAAAAATAAGTAGACACAATATGTCTATATTATTCAATGAAACATAGATACCGAGTGTAACAGCGAAATGGTCCAAAACGTGAAACTGCAAAATTGTCCAGTTGTTAGATTAAGATCTGAACCGTTGTATCTTAGAAATGATTAAAGATATCTTACTGGAATTCTCTAAGGCTTTTATAACACCATTAGAATCTACTTTGAGCAATAAAACTGTATAATTACAGAAATATCTTGATGAATCAATCAGAAACGAAAATGACATGTTCATCATTAATCATAGCTAAGGATCGGAAGCTCATGAAGTATTGAAATAAAATTCATATATATATATATATATATATATATATATATATATATATATATATATCCAGGATCATTTTCCAACTTATTCAAGATGATCTTCGCCATCTCTAAACTTCTAACTTTCTGTCCTGGAGCAACAAAGGTGCCTCACAGGTTTCACGTACGATTTCATTTTCAAGTTTTTTTTTCACTGCTCTTTGGACTGTCATAGTTGAAACACCTTTTTCTCACATGACAAACGTCTTATGGACTGAGTTGGATCTTTTCTAATTTAGCTATAAATCTCTCTCTATATATATTGCTGGAGCACAAGGACAAATGTGTTAGTAATATTCTAATGAACGAATGGTAGATTTGCAAATATGTAAGATAAATACTGGAAAGAAAAATTGTCTGGCACGACACATTGAACCAAATTTTCTAAAAACTTAGCAATTGATTCGATATAATCTTTCCACGTCATGTCAGCGGAAAATGTTAGCCCTAGAAGAAGCAAGAAATCACTGTCCTCAAGGTTAGCATTAGCCATCAAGCAGAAAGGTTTCTTTCAGACATTTAATATAGAGCAGATTCGTTTGGGCGTTAAAATTAGCAACTTCCGTTTCCTAAGTGGCAGTTATTTTTTGTTCAATGTTATTATGCTGGGTGAGATTCCGATAGTATCAAGGTGAATATTGCATTAACAATTCTTTGAAAATAAAGATTCTTTTTCTGATACAAGAACTACTATTTAACCCATACCCGGGGACAAAAAATGGATTCATACTTTTCCCAAGTCCATCTGCGCGTAAGTGAAGACCACTAACTCGACTTGAATTCGAACCTCTAATTTTTCATTCCGAGACGCTACTCGCATTCCTTCTTTTATTTTTATGTGTCACGTTCTTTCAGGACGTAGGTGATCATGACTCTCCACTTCACCCTATCCCTTGTAGCTCTCAATAAGTCTTGTCCACTTCTCCCAGACCCTCGTCATCCACTTGCTTAATCCCGGTAGGTATGTCACGTGTTGCTTTCCCTTGTCTCCAATTTCCCTCTATCCGCCCTGTGAGTATCAAATTCTCCAAGCCCACCTTTCTCATTACGTGTCCAAGAAATTTCAGATAAAA